GGGGGGGGGGGGGGGGGGGTGAAATTAATGACAATCTTCCTTTGCTTGCTTAAGTCTTTTTATATCATGATTTAAACTTTTAATTCCAGCCGAAAGGGTACTGAATAACTGGAGGCTGCATAGTAGGCACCTTTCCGGTATTTAGTGAGGTAATATGACCGGTAAGATAACGATATGTCATAATTGTTCACGTGAACTTAACCTAACAAACCACGTGGAATTTGACATACACAGTGCACTAATTTTAAAACACTTTCACTGTATTGCTTAAAAAGCTCTTGAACTTGATTTCCACAGTTCACGCACGTGTACAAATTTGATTTTGTTGCCATCCTCAATCCTTCAAACCTGCTTATAGAAAGGCTTACATACATACGCATAGACTACACGTTGTAGCTGTTATGTTGGCCAAGGATTAATACCAACATGCTGGTTTTCGTCTGTGGTATAAATATAGTATCCGCTATGTATAATCGTCTAGCAACATTATTAGTTGCCATTAAATATCAAGTACTTGGACATAAAGTAAGAAATTATAAAAGTAGCATATGTACTGCAGTTTATAATATATATCGAGTACTTCCAAGTTCATGACAGAAATGCTTATCATTTATATACCGGCGAAGCAAATCTGCTGTCTTCGCTAAAGTAACATTCCATACAAGTTCTCCAAAATTGTTTAAGAAATCATTCACACTTGTGAAACATTTTTATACCCTAAAAGCCTTGAAAGAGTCCTTACAGAGCATCGTAAAAAAATAAATCCCACTCACGTAACAAGTTGGTACTCAGTGCCTGCGTGAATTCTAAGTTGGTGCTGCTGATCCGAAAACCGCCAATGAAAGCAAGAGAGGTAACTGAGTAAACGAATTTTAAAACAATTAAAACAAATAAGCTGGTGATTTGTGTAAAAGAGAACCACAGACGTCCAAGAGATTCATAACAATGTACGCACTAAAGAAAACAATAAGTGGTTTGTGAATTATTTGAGGTTAGAGTGTATCTTTAACTAAAGGTAAAAACACCCATTTCCAGTAGACTGGGAAGTCAATATTTACAAATGCTTGCTTTCAGAATACCGCCGTTTGATAGTAAGAAATATACAGCACCATGACGTAACCTCTCTTGGAACATTAAGTTTGATTAATTTTGTCAATTTTGGGTTTAATTTTACTTGACATAAATAGTCTTGAGCTTTCTATAAATCTCTTTGTTGGTTATTTGTGGTTTATTTAACGGCGCCTCCTGTAGCTCGTACTATATTGCATGGATTGATAAGATTATTAATTAATTAAAAAGGATATGGAAAGAAGCTATCGTAGCCCAATTTAACATTTTTGGTTGGAGGGACAGGAAAATATAAAAAAGACCTCCGAGGCATTATGAGTGCTGACCATAGACAATTAAAAACCCTTCTGCAGAAATCGTGGTGCAGATGTGCAGTTTTTTTAACCCTTTGTCCATCTGTACTATGAATTAAGGATTACCATTTTGGAGTCTTCTTGATTTTGGATGTAATAGGATTAGATGTTCAGAATTATGTTCATATACCAGGTTCAAATATCCAGTTTCTTATTCATGACCATGCAATTGTGTCTGGGATGTTTATATTTCCTATTCTCTGTTTGGATGTATGAATACACAAGTTAAATTTTCTTAGTAATTTGTTGGAGTGAACTAGCGGATTAGAAGAATGTCCCAAAAGGCAACCAAGGCTGCTGTAGTGAAGAAACCAGCAGGGAAACGAAAAGCTGCCAATGGATACAAGCTACCTGACCCAATTCCACTGGGGGAAATTATAAGGAATGTTCGTAAGAAGGAATGGCAGATTGGTCCTTCAATTGGAGCTGGAGGATTTGGAGAGATCTATGCTGGTATGATCATCACTAAATACATTTTGTCAGTTTATGAAGTGGCATCTATTGATGAACAAGATGTAAATAGGAAAATAATAATAATATTTTAACTTCAGTTGCAAGAATTTTATTTGCATCAAAATAGGGAAATAACTTCCATTAGTATTTTCCATTGTGTCTAAAATTTCCTTTCCTTTTTGTATTACAGCATCAGATGTTTCAGACTCTCCAAGAAAAAAAGGCACTTTACCTTATGTTGTAAAAATTGTAAGTAATATTATGATAAACATACTGAACTTTTATAATTTCACATAGTACAGTGCTTAAAACCCTCACTTGTACACAATTGTAATCTTATTTAACTGTCTTGTACTGCACAGCTGATTGAGGAATCTTAGGATGAAGATGGCTGTCTTCTGGGTTCTAATGCCATGTAGTCTGGTAGAAGTTTGCCATTGTTCAGATGTCCATGCTGTATCCATCATCAGGGCATTGAATTGTGATGATTGAGACTGCAGGGACCTCTGAAACATTGGTAAACTACCAGACTACATGGAGCTACAACCCAGAAGGCAGGCATCTTCATACTCACTGCCATGAGAACCTCAAATCCTATGAATTTTAGGATGACTAACAGTGACAAAATGCTTCCATCTAGCTCATATAGGGTGCTGCCATTCCACAAAAATTAGAAGAACACAAAAGAAATATTTTACTATATAGCCCAACAGTGACATAATGATTTAATAATATTGCATTTCTGCATGACCGGACCAGGATTTGTCACTGATAAGTAAATGGAGAGGAAGCAGTTGTAAGTTAATTTAAGAAGTAGCATAAAAGCTAGATGTTAAGATAATAGATATTTATTTATATTGGAATGTCATATATGTTCTCCTAATTTTAGGAACCTCATGGTAATGGTCCCTTGTTTGTGGAAATGCATTTCTATATGAAAGTTGCCAAACCTGAGCAAAGTAAGTATTTACTTTATATATCACAAATTGCCAAATTGGAAAATGTGGTAGGATTAGTGCAATGAAGAGAGGCATAATTTAATTTTACCTAACATGCAAACTCAGTATGTTGCTTACATTTTATAGGCCATACATATCTCAGAAAATGGTATGGAACAGGAATTTGTGGTGGGCAAGTCTATTCCATTATATAGGTTTTCTGCTGCCAGCCATTCTGCCAGTGTTAGAGCTCCTTGGTTTGCAACATGCCAGACTAGCCAGTGCAATGTTGTTCCTCAGTGTTTCACTAATACCCTAACATTTGGTTAGATGTATTTGTTTTATCTAATGATGCTGTTGGTAACTTATAATCATATATAATTTAAAGAACTATCCTTGAATTACCCTGGAAGGGCTGAGGAAAACAACAAACACTTCAGCCAGGATTGCTGGCCTACTTTCATTCCCAGACCTCCTGAATATGAAATAGTATAGCTAGCTACTATATTTGATGCCACTTCAATAGAGCAGGGAAATTTTAAGTTTATGATATTTCTATTACAAGTTTTAAAATGAAGAGCTGATTTTTTTCTCTTGTAATGACATCTTCAGAGCTCTTTTAGCCATCAGGGTCCCTGACAAGCCTTCTAAGTTTCAATGGTGGTGTCACCATCACTCCTGTACTTCAGAAAGAAGACATGAAGTTGAATTTAGGAGGGAGTGCTTGTGGAAAGATACACATATATATCTACATACATATTCTTACATTTCTTTCATCCATAAGTTAGTCAGATGAAAATAGGATGTGGAATAAGTCACAAGAATGGAGAATTTTGTCGCATGATGACCCATCCTGATAGACATTAATGGAGAAGAAATCTGTTGTAAATCAAAGACATTGACCTCTTCTCCTATAAATTTCATTGAAGTGCTTTTATTCTTTACCAACAATTCTGGTTGTAAGTTCACATTGAATAACTGGAAGAAATTGATAATTATATTGCTCTTCTCCTATATAGTATTACATTCATATGAAATTACAGATGATCTCTTTCACCCTCCTCCCCCATGTTAAACAGAGACCAGATGTGTTGAAATTCTTGGACCGATGTGTTCTTGTCCGGTTCATGGATGGCAAATTCATACAATGAAATGTTACAATTTCAGTTGAAGAATGGAAGAAACTGAAAAATTTGAAGTCACTTGGTATGCCATGTTATCTTGGATCTGGCTCACATGAATATAATGGACAGAAATACCGTTTCATAGTGATGGACAGATATGGAAAGGACCTTTGGTCACTGTTTATTCAGAACAAACGAGTGTTTACAATACCAACTGTTCTGAGAGTAGGTCTGCAAATAGTGAGTATTAAGCAGCTATTCTGTATCTTAAATCCATCATCATGCTTCAACTGCAATTGCTGTGTTTTGATGTAGCATGAGAGAGCCAATGAAATTACAGATTTGTCTTCACCTAACAAAGGCTTAGCCTGGACATGACTACTTCTGGCATATAAATAGCACTCAGTGTGGGACCATCGTGTGTGATATGGTGATATTAAAGAAATACTTGTTCTTAAAGGGGCATAAAACACTCCTAAAAAGACTTGATGAATATCATTTCAATGTTTTATATTCCTTTATATCACTCTTTGATTTAATCAGAATTGTTTTCTTTCTAGATTGATGTACTACAGTATATTCACAGCAAGATGTATGTTCACGCTGATATCAAAGGAGGGAATCTTCTACTTGGACTGAAAAGGGGCACAGAGAATCAGGTTTATCTTGTTGATTTTGGACTGGCTTCTCACTATTCACAGAAGGAATACAAACCAGACCCTAAGAGAGCTCATAATGGAACCATTGAATATACCAGCAGAGATGCTCATGTTGGAGGTGACTGAATGTTCAAACATTGGCTCACTATAAGAAGAGGAAGTCACTTTTCCCTCATATAACAATGCTGAATCGTTGACCATGCATCACATCTCCTGTAATAGAACTTTTCATGCTCTCACAAAGATTCCATCGTCCATTTTAGTAAACATTCAATGTGCACCTACACCTGGACAAAAAGGGAACAAATTACAAATTCATAGAATGGTTTGGAATCTCCTTTGTAGCAGCCAACTGACAGAACTGCATGCATGCACATTCACTCACCCCTATTTGTCATATTTGCAAGCTTTCAGAAATTCACCATTATCTAATGAATATAAAAGTTTATCATCATGGTGTTTAGGCACAAGTTTGTATGAACAGATTGTGATGATGGTAATGCATATTTTATAATTTTCAATTGAAATGATTCCCTCAGCTGGAATTGAAACCTACATCCTACTAATCTTACATCTGTATTTGCAGTATGCCTTTGACTTCATTTGACCAGACAGAGTCAAATGAATCTTTATAGTAATGTAATGGAAGCCTTTTTTTATTATTGTTGTTGGTGGTGACTTTCTTTCAGTGCCCACAAGGAGAGGTGATCTAGAGATTCTGGCATACAATATGTTGCAATGGCTGGCTTCTAAACTTCCATGGGAAAACAATTTAAGTGATCCAGTGCATGTACATCAGCAGAAGACTAAATATATGGACAACATTCCAGAACTAATGAAAAAATGTTTCCCTAAGACTACTCCACCAGGTAATACATCAGAAAGCCCTTTGAACCTGATATAATTCATAATTTGCAAATGACATTAAGGTCATCAGTATTGACTTCCATATATGAAGAAAACTAATTTTATTATGTCAGTGTGTAGTTTAGTTACCAGTGTTTCAGAACAGCCAATCACCTGCATCTTCATGGTAGGTACCTTGCCAATGGAGATGATATGTTCCTTCAAAACATTTTTAATTACCGACTAGACTACACAGCATCATAACCCACACTGCTGTGAAAATCAAAACTGCCATACAATGTTTATCAATATGCTAATTAATGTTGTTGTTTTTCCAGCTGCACTGGTCAAGTATTTTGAATATGTAGCTAGCCTAACATATGATCAAGACCCAGACTACAAGTGGTGTCAAAAGCTACTGGAGACAGGTCTCAAGGATTGCAAGTGTTCTCTGGAAGGGAAGCTGGATTTCTCAGGAAAAGGTACTGTTAAGAGAGGCAGTCCAAAGAAAACAAACAGTACAGGTCCTTCCTGTGATGGTGAAACCAACATTTCTGATAATAAGCCACTTCCAAGGAGGAAAGTTAACGTAACTCAAAAACAAAATCAGGCAAAACAGCACAAAGCCGACATTTCTGATAGTAATTCCAGTGCTGAATCTGACGATGATGAAGTCTGTAACTATAAGAAGAAAGAAAAGTCAAGTAATGCAAATAAGAAAGTCAAAACTAAATCTGTTTACGGCTGGAGAGATTGTCCATCGGCAATTGCAAGTAATGTGAACAGAGCTGGAGAATACAAAAGAAAAAGTAATGACAAACAGCACATCACCAAGAAACAAAGAAAAATGAATGGTTGATAGCAGATTTTTAATGTTACATTTGCTTCCTTGGAAACAACTTTAAGACTGTAAATGCTCAGCAGGCTACCACACAGTTAAAAAGTTCATTACCGTTATTGAACATTGTGGCAGTAATAACTGCCACAAAGTGCGTATGTCCTTATGTAGTCCTGCAGTGTACCCATGAATTAAATTAATAACCACAAAACTTATAGGCTGCAAACTCAAGGCAGCATACAGCATAGGCTACCTGTTCCATAACTTTCCTACTGAGATTTTTAAGAATAAAATAATGTTTATACATATTTTTCATTTGTGCCATTCACAGAAGGCATGGTAAGTCTTTGCAAGAGAAATAATTGTCAAATGTGATGAGGCTCTTCACAGTACAAACAAGGACTTGCATAGATCCACAGCTACATACAGGCCTTAATGTGCATATTTTCAGCTGTCTAGCAGTGGTTTCAATTTCAAACAATGAACGTACCAAATATGAAAATGCTGTGTTGATAACTTTACCTTCTGTTCCTAACCATCATGATCCAAGTCATTTACTGCTCCATACAAGTTCTGCTCCATATACAAGGATTTTACAGAGGTAGTTGCATCAGTAAATTAAATTTACTACTTGTTGATCATAAGGAAGATAATAAAATCTGCTGTATTCAATTTTTCCTTTCATATTACTTTTTTTGTACATCATCTTACTTTATATTGATTATGTCTAATGTAGAAAAAAATCCCCACAATCTGAAGCATAAAACAAAACTGAAGAGAAATAAATGAGTAAATATGTCTACTTCTTGTTACTGGAATATTCTTAATCAAATTCACAAATGGCAACTCCAAGTCATTGTGTGTGTATTGTAAGCTTAGTTCATTGTTTTTATTTCTAACAATTTTCCTTAAGCAACAATGTGTGTATGTGAATATTCATAGTTCCCTTCAAAACCTTCATGTCCATGACAGCACAAGAACAAGTTTTGAAAGTAAATGTCATTTGTCCAAGGTACTCATTAAATATCTATTCAAGAATGTTGAGGTCTTAAGGCTGATGCATGGATAACATTTCCACAGCTTCTTTGTATAACCAGTGTCAGCATAATAAATGATGAAATGTGATTGGACAATTCCCATTTCTGGCTTTAAAATTCCTTCACTACCTTTCCTTCATTTTCTTTAGCATACATTTGTAAAAGAAACTATTCAATAATAATATCACTTTGTTGCAACATTGTGACAGAAGATTGCTGGCTAAAACTTTGTATATCCATTAGTTTTATTCCTCAGTAATTACTTGCCCCCATTTTACTGCACTTCATATAAATAAGCACTGTTGTGGCAATACTCATTCCAAACGACTTTTTCTCTCTCAGAATCAAACTAGGTTACCAACTGATAAAAGTACAACTCATTCACACCAAAAAAAAAAACCTGCTTGGTACATGCCAATTTAGCAGTAATCTATTTCCAAGCCTATCGGGGATAAGATCAAACTGAATGAGCAGCTCTATACCTTTAATGGATACACCCAAGCTGCTCCCAGCATTTGGAATTGGAAAAAACCTGCCAAATAGAAATTCAAATCATCACCACTCACACAAGTGAAGTATTACTTGGTCTAAATGTTATAAAGGATTAAAATGCCAAGAAATAATTGTATAAATACAAAATATAAATGTACTTTATTGTTACACTTGCCTTTGGGAAACAATCAAATACTGATACATATTACTAGGAATTTATTTTACTTTAAAAATATATTAAGAGGCAGGTCCTGCTTCAGCTAGTTTCAACAGACATGACAAACCACCAAAACTTGTTAGTCCACAATCACAAATGTTACTCAATAGGAAAAACAAATAAGGCAGCAGGACAACCAAACCTCACAATCTGTAGCTGCAGGCCTTCATTCTCTCTCCAAATTCTTCCAATTGGGACACCTTCCCTCCCTTATTCAGTTTCCCTAAACTCTATCCTTCAGTATCACTGCCTAACCCAACAGTACATAAATCAAATTTATTTTGGCCATTGAAGAATCCTATTTATGCTCTATAAATAACTTAATTTAGCTATTCATCAAATAAACCAAAAAATCAAACAAAACAAACTTAAAACTCCAGAGGTTGGGGTACATCTGTATAAACAGAAAAGGTGATATTAATTTGCTCTAAAACAGCAAAATGGAGGTCCATCCCACTTTCACAGAGCAAACTTAAAAAAATGTTAAAATGCTGACAGCACGAACACTAATGGTTCAAACAAATCATTGTATACAAAGCAGCAGGATAAATTCAACAAAACAATAGCAAAAGTATATAAACAATGACAACACTATTTAGATACATTTTATTTAATATTTTAACTGGCCTCCACATCACCCCTTATAGCCAGCCGATCCACCCACAAAAAAGAATTTTGAATACAATTTGTCACAGGTTCTAAAAAGTAAAATTGAAGACAGATTAAATTGACCCCCTAGAACAAAATACCCTCCACATTTTGTTTGCCAATTCCCTAGAAAGTATTATGAATGACCTGAAGCTTTCCCAGTGATCAAGTATAATCAATTATTCTTGTGCTACCTGCTACGTCAGGTTATCTTCATCCTCAGCCTGAAAATTCGTTCTATCATTTAAAGTTCTGTAGTAACACTTTTTTGGGAACTCAAACGATATAGTGTCAACCTACAAAGTAGTTCCAGAAGAAGTATCAATGTCAGTAAGAGCCTGATTATCCAAATATAAGGCCTTTTTCTTGGCCACCTCTTGAATGAAACCCTCACCTTCCACTTCTTGGTACATATAGGCCTGCATGAACTTTGCCATTATGCTGGAGAACACCTTATCCTATTCAGACACAGAAAGAGAAAAAATTGCATCTTCATTGATCTGCACCACAATATGAATACCAGGCTAAAATCCCTCCTCTTTTGTGCCGATCTGTTATAAATCTAACTTATTCACCAATACTCTGAAAATACTACCCTCTTTTACACTGATCCCCTGTAAATCCGTTTTATTCCATCCATTACTCAAGATGCTGGAAACCCAATCTCCTCTTCTGCTTGTTCCCAGGAAATTCCTCTTCTTTGTGCCAAAACCCCGAATACCTTTCTTCTGTGCTGACTTCTGGCAATCCATTCCTCCCCTCCGACACCCCGGACGGCCCTCCTCTTCTGCTCCGACACCCCAGACGTCCCTCCTCTTCTGCTCGAACACCCCGGACGGCACTCCTCTTCTGCTCCGACACCCCAGACGTCCCTTGTCTTCTACTCCTATACCCCGGATCTCTTCTTATGTTCCCATACCCCAGATGTCCTCCTCTTCTATGCCATCACCCCGGAAGTCCCTCCTCTTCTGCATCGATACCCTGAAATTCATCCTCTTCTGCAGTCACACCATGGAAATTCCTCTTCTGTAAATACACTAAAATCCATTTCTTCTGCAATGACACCCTAGAACTCCATCCTCTTCTGATGCAGATCCATAGGCAATCCTGCCTCTTCCATGCTGACCCCCTTAAAATCTCATCTAGAACTTGGCCTACTTCAAAAACAGGAAACCCCTCACCTTCCATGCAAACATCCTGAAAATCACTCTTCTGTTCTGACACCCTTGAAGTCCATCCTCTTCCATGTACATCACCTGGATACCCCTTTCTTGTGTAGATCCACAGGAAATCCTTCTTCTCATGTATGTTCTATGATAACCCATCTTCTCAAAATTATTCTTGTGCTACCTGCTACGTCAGGTTATCTTCATCCTCAGCCTGAAAATTCGTTCTATCATTTAAAGTTCTGTAGTAACACTTTTTTGGGAACTCAAACGATATAGTGTCAACCTACAAAGTAGTTCCAGAAGAAGTATCAATGTCAGTAAGAGCCTGATTATCCAAATATAAGGCCTTTTTCTTGGCCACCTCTTGAATGAAACCCTCACCTTCCACTTCTTGGTACATATAGGCCTGCATGAACTTTGCCATTATGCTGGAGAACACCTTATCCTATTCAGACACAGAAAGAGAAAAAATTGCATCTTCATTGATCTGCACCACAATATGAATACCAGGCTAAAATCCCTCCTCTTTTGTGCCGATCTGTTATAAATCTAACTTATTCACCAATACTCTGAAAATACTACCCTCTTTTACACTGATCCCCTGTAAATCCGTTTTATTCCATCCATTACTCAAGATGCTGGAAACCCAATCTCCTCTTCTGCTTGTTCCCAGGAAATTCCTCTTCTTTGTGCCAAAACCCCGAATACCTTTCTTCTGTGCTGACTTCTGGCAATCCATTCCTCCCCTCCGACACCCCGGACGGCCCTCCTCTTCTGCTCCGACACCCCAGACGTCCCTTGTCTTCTACTCCTATACCCCGGATCTCTTCTTATGTTCCCATACCCCAGATGTCCTCCTCTTCTATGCCATCACCCCGGAAGTCCCTCCTCTTCTGCATCGATACCCTGAAATTCATCCTCTTCTGCAGTCACACCATGGAAATTCCTCTTCTGTCAATACCCTAAAATCCATTTCTTCTGCAATGACACCCTAGAACTCCATCCTCTTCTGATGCAGATCCATAGGCAATCCTGCCTCTTCCATGCTGACCCCCTTAAAATCTCATCTAGAACTTGGCCTACTTCAAAAACAGGAAACCCCTCACCTTCCATGCAAACATCCTGAAAATCACTCTTCTGTTCTGACACCCTTGAAGTCCATCCTCTTCCATGTACATCACCTGGATACCCCTTTCTTGTGTAGATCCACAGGAAATCCTTCTTCTCATGTATGTTCTATGATAACCCATCTTCTCAAGTAATCATCCTTTATACTGATCCTCTGCAGTGTTGTTCCACTAGATCTTGTCCGTTTGTTAGATATATAACTTGTTACATTCAATCTTCTGTGCGCTTGTATAAACACACCATAGCAATATCAAAATTTTAGCATGATTCTCCCCCCAGATGGTAATTTTATTATAGTAAAGCAGGTCCCCATCATATCAAACTTCTAACAAATTCTACATCCAGATGGTAATTGTAGAAAGCACGGCCTCTTTTGTAGGTCAATGCCAGTCAATTTCAGTCTAGAAGTCATAATATTCCTTGCTAGATACATAAAAAAGTTTTGTAAAGCAGATATGAACTGCTGCACAAGAAGCCAATTCTGTTACATTAGCAACACACACCTTGTACATCCTAAATCATTCATGGAAGTAAAAAATTGCTGTGAATATACTTCTGTAAACTCCATATTATCTGGCATATGTAATAGAACATAATTAACATGCCTGCCAATCCACAATATTTAAATGCAACAAAATTTACATCAAGATTTGATCTACATTACCTAAATTTAAAGACTTCAAATAACATCAGAACTTCAGCTGCACAACCAACTTTTGAATATATTAGCTTGCTCACTTGGTAATAATCCACCAATAATAACGAGTTTGTGCTTGTTTCTAATCTCTATGCATCTTGTACTGAATTATTTTAAACCTAAGTACTCTGAAAAAGTACTCTCCTTGAATTTAATTCACTTTGGTCTTATCCATTTTCATTCTTCATTGTTAAAAAACATTTTTTCTTCACATTTGAAGTCTTTCACTTCTCAATACAATATACATTTTTTGCCAAGATACATAAAATCAGATAAATATGGTCAAGACATTACAAACTACTTTGATCTTGCATACCAAACAAAATTGGCTTCAAAAACCACTAATGAGGCTATAAAACTTCACAGGCGTTCACTATGGATGAAATATGACAAAAATTAAATGCAATTTTTTCTCCTGCAGGATTTCTTCCATTTCTCACAAATTTTACAATAAAAAAGTCTCAATACTGCAATCCCATTAGATGTGCACACAGAACACATTGCACCATGTGTACTAAATACCCACTCATCTCATACACATCACTCTGGGGAGATATTCGAACAACTGTATTGTTAACAATATGAATTTCTTACTTCTTGAAATTTCTATAGTGATGGTTTTCTCCAAGATGGCATTTGTGCTTCCTAAAATTTCATCGAAACATTAAATGGTATTTCCTGGAATGTATGAAGCATCTCCATTAAAATGCACCAGTATGTATAATTTCCACGCAAAGAGACAATGTAATCCTTTAAATCAATCTGTACACCGACATTTTTAAAATTTTAAAATAGCATAATAAAATTATCTGCATGACTTCAGTTTAATTCTTGTGTCATCCGAGGTATCCCATGAATGGACTGTTGTATTTTCATACTGGTACCGTTTTCATTCAAAATTACATCTTGCTGTCTGGAGGCAAAAGCAGGTGTATCTTGTGAAATAAAATATTCTTGCATACTTCTCTTCTTCAAAAACCACGTTCCACATTATTCCTCCAAGACGATGGGATGAAGCAGATCCAACAATGGAGTGAGGAGGAGAAACATAAGACACCACACATGGTAAGAGACATGATGCTGATGCAAGAGATGGCACAAGGCGTGGAGGCGAGAGATGGTTGAGGTATGATGCAGATACAAGATGACACGATCCAAGACATGCCAGATATAATGCAGAGGCAAGTGATGATGTGAGGCAGAATGCAGTCACTGGGATGGCATGATTGATGGGGCAGACAAGCTTTTGGCAAGAAGGATGTAGACCTGTTATCTGATGGCTCAACAAACTGTGGAACTAGATTCTGATGATATGCAGGATCCAAATCACACTCTAATGGCGCGACAGGCAATCCAGACTGCACCTGAATAGCGAGACTGGTGACTAGATGTCACGATAGGGGATGCTGACCTCCATCTGGATGGCGCAATAGGGGATAAAGACCCGTACACCCAGATGGCACGATGGGCGATCCTGACTTGAATACCGAGACGGCGAGATGGGCAATCCACATCTGCATCTAGATGGCGCGATGGGCGATCCTGACCCGAATACTCAGAAGGCGAGAGACGATCCAGACCCATACACCCAGACAATGGGCGATCCTGACCCGAATACTCAGAAGGCAAGAGACGATCCAGACCCATACACCCAGACAGCGCGATGGGCGATCCTGACCCGAATACCCAGACGGCAAGATGGGCAATCCAGAACCGCATCGAGATGGCGCGATGGGCAATCCAGACCCGTAGCATCCGAATGGTGGGATGGGCGATGCAGAACCGCAATGCAGCCCTACACCCAATGCCGCGATAGGCAATCTGGACCCAGTCAACAGCGCGATGGGCAATTCGGACCCTCACCCATATATGGTGTGAAGCAGACCAGACACCGACAGAAAACAGACGTCCCAGCACCCAGATGGAACAATGATCCCATCCAGAGGACAATGCTGACCCCCACTGAAATGACATGCGATGATGGAGACCCCAACTGGGATGGCCTAAGGAACAACTCTATCAATGCTGGTATGATAGTGCATATCCTGACTGGGACTATGGTCCTGCTGGGATAACAGTGCCGGGCCAGGCTCATGACTCTCACTTCGATGGTGGTGCCGGGTAAAATGTAAATCCACTCCAATACGGAATGAGGGACAATTTAAGAGGTACACTTCGGGATGGAACAAAGGATAAGAGCAGGGTGATGCATGCCAGCTCACTGCAATACACACATCCCTATCTAGGACATTAGGAAAAATGTAGATCCATCAGGAAGGTACAAGGAATAAGGAACATCAAACTTCCATAGTGATGAGGTATGCTGCAGATTCCCACCTGGGTAACATGGGAGAGCAAATCGTTTGAAGGCATGCACTCGAAGTCTATATAAGGACAAAGGTACAAGCATGGGGGTGACATCAAGATGTAGACTAGGGGGACACAGCAGTCTCCACATGGACATATTACACAACACACATCTACATAAAGAAAAATAAACACAGGCAAAGTGATATTCAATTTGCTGAAAATTACTTTCAAACACAATATTCTGCAGTCATTAACACACTATGCCATGAAAGCTGGTGAATACTATACACAGAACTTCCGCCAAAAGATATTCCTGATTAAAACCTTCAACATTCACTTTACAGAATAATGGGCAGGCAATGCACCCATCACCAGTTGCACTCTGCTACAATTACAATGAAATCAGCCAAAGAAAAATAACCTTTTATGCTACACTTTCGGTTTTCCATCACAAAGCTGGTACCTGAAGCCAAGAAATTTTAAAATGGAACACTGTCAAACCAAAATTAGTTTGTCCAGTACTTCTGCAACTAAGCATCAACTGTTAATGAAACTCAACAGCATGTATTCTAAAGAAGGCATTACAAGAACCAGTCATACACAAGCCCTCGTGAAGACCAAGGCAGTGATTTCAATGTGATGGGAAGCTGCTTGCCTTACATTACACACACACACACAATGCAATTCTAATGTAGAATAACAACATGTCAAAATGACTTAGCAGTTTTCATACATAACCACCATTACAAAGTTGCAGGAAGATTGAAAGTACAATATCTTGGAAAATATGTGCAATTCAACACACACTGAATTTGTAGGATAAATGAATATGTATTCAGACTCCATACTTCAACACAATGACAAAGGAACCTCACAAAGCTGGGAAATCTGGAAACCATGCAATAGATTTTAAAATAACTAAAGAAGTTGGAAGAGGAACTGAACTTACACTGGCACCTACCAAACTTTAAAAAGTAATGTAAAATTGTCAATAACATATTACCCATAACACCACCACAAAAAACACGCTTCAAAAGTATTAAACCTACACTTAACATAGGTGTTACATTATAAATACACACAAAAAGAACATGATGTATTCATTCATGCATTACTTCACTGCAAATGCATTTTTGAGAAGATTAATCACAATATCAGACAAGAACTTTTACATTTGCCTAAAGCATATGCAAATTCACGCAATAAAACAATAACTTTTTGACAATCAGCTGTTTGCAAACAGGTTCATGCCATGACAAATCAGAAGTAGCTCCAAAACATTGCCAGCTTTCCACCATTCATAAAAGTTGCCCAATAAACAAGGCTATTCAAAACACTTGGCAACTACAGCAATATACTATTAAGCCTCCAAAATGCCAGCTTAATGCAAAAGTCATCTATTCAGTTTTGTCAGAGACATTTACAGGGAGGGACTAATGCATCTATCTCATGTTTCCCCAACACAAAGCTTGTTAGCACAGCAGAAATGATTTGCTACCAAACTCATACCGAATAGCAATTTTTGCTCGCAAGACCTAAGAAGATTGATCAAACAATACACTGAACCAAAGGCTCCCCCCCAAACAAGTCACAGCAGTTGCAATGAGCATATAGAACTACAAATTTTGTGTTACATGTTAAAATCAACATTCTGTATAATCCAGGTAATTAGATGTACTTCTTTCAAACATGTGCAAAATCAGCCAATAGGAAATGACTTCCAAAAACACTGCAGTGGAATTTATTCTCCATGTGATTTAGCAATGCACACTGCAACTTGTCTCTGATCATAGTTTGAAGGAAGCCAAGAATCAAAATGTGTTTCCAAAAGATCATCACATTCCTTCTCAAGAAGACACTAAATAAGAATCATTGAAACATACCTCAAGAAGCAAAGCAATCCCTACCTTCAGCAAATGCTTTCAAGAATTTTCACACTTCAGACTTACAAATGAATGAGCATAAATCCAAATTTGTTTACCTTTCATAAACTCTTATATAACACTTCGCGTGAAGTCCAAATGATCGGGTGCTAAAACATTTTGGTAGTGTAAAGCATCATCTGAAAAAGTTGCACATGCCCATTCAATATTCTTGAACCTTCACCGAGCAAGATTAGAACCAATATTACGAACACCAATAATAGAATTAAATAGATTTATACTGTACAAATACCAAAAACTTTGGCATGCACAAGTATTAACATATTTAGATGAAAAACACCAAGCTTCCTTTCCATATTTGCCAAACGTGGATTGTTGCAACGACCAACATACAGTACATCCTGCTCATTAGGATGGTATAAAAATTATAAAAAAACTTACAACATACCAAATATTTTATACCCAGATTTGCAGGTTCCTCAGCACATAACTGTTGCTTACATAATCAAGACGTTTTAAACATCCAAGAGCCTTTGAAAAACTTTTTCCCCTGTTTAAATATGTTACATATGCACAACATAGTAACTTGCAAACTTCAACATGCATTTTCTGGTGCACAAAATGTACCCTACACAAAAAAGATCAAAGAGGTAAAACCCAAAAATTAATAACTGCAAAATATGCAACAAATTAATAATATACTGGAATCTGGAAGTCTTGAAAAACAAGCCAAGTAAAACAATCATATAAAATAAGACGAGATGTTCATAGTCAATTCGATGCATGAATACTGGAAAACAATAAACATTTTCAATTTGATGTTCAAATAATTGGTCAACGGCTACCACTAAATATGCTTTACAATCCTGCATATTAGATCATTGCTTTACATTAATTGTTTGCCTGTCAGCTCTCAAACTGCATGGGAAGATGATAACAGCCCTAAAACTTTGTGAAGTACTCAATCAGCCACATACATTTACCACATCTGCAAAAGCAATCTTGGAATTCCAAAATCTGCACCATCAATAAGCAGGAAAAATGTGCAGCAGTTGTTCACCTTCACAATGAAGAGTGAATTCACTGCTCAATGCTTGTCAAATGAAATCAATCCCACTTCCACAGCAGTCACCAACACCACTGGAAATGTGAAGAAAAACAATCTTCCCTCAAACAAACATCATTTGCTCATTCTGACGACAGCAGTTCCTATGGATCATATGGTACCTATACATGCTACTGCAATGCTTGAATGAGAAACCTGCTCCACCTATTCATACTACTAATGGAAACGTGAAAAATTATAAACCAGTATCCTGAAAGAAGAAAACGTCTTACAATTGTCACTCCTGGATCCAGGTCCGTATTTCATTGCCAGCTGCTGCTCAGAACATATGCTTGCCCAGCGCTCTACGCGTTGCTAGCTGTGGGCAAGACAAAATCATGCTTTATACATCCCCCTACCCCAAAACTTACAAAATCCCATCTGAAGCACTTTTTAATCCAACTATGCAAATTAAATTTACCCCAATTCCCCATTACCAAGGCCAGCTTTTCAATATGCTACCGCACTGCAGAACACAAAATTTCCCATTCTCAGACGAAGAATTCCCATATAAAAAACAAAGAGTTCAAAATGCCACTTTGGTATTTTATATACCTAAAATTTGTAAACAATCTAGCCATATCAATTGATTAACTGGAAATGCACACGAATTGCTCGTTGCAAAAACGTACCCCACGAAAATATTACATATAATAAATTATACTTGTAAATACAATTTTCGTACCTTAATTGTGCAGTCAAAACCAACAGCACATGTAAGCCCATCTGCACACAAGTTTCTACATACCAACACATGGCACTGAAATCTTCCAAAACTCCAATTACTAGGTTGATTTTGAAGTTATTTCCAGATGTAGGAGAGACTACAGTGATTTCAGAACACATTTACCTTAAATGTAAAGGAACATCACCGGTAAAACTATATCAAACTCACATGTATTCCCCTCTTCTTCAATCAATCACACCTATTCAGATCTTCATTTACTGTGCAAGGCAAATACAGATCTTTGCAGATTAAACGAGTTTCATATCAGCACAATTGGTCTGCACACTCCATGTAGCCTTGTTCAAATCTGAAGTAGAAAGGAAAACAATATTTCCATTCTCCCCCCTCCCTCCCACAGATCCAAATCCCCAACAAGAAAAATCAGTTATAAATTGCATAACGCAATAAACATCCCCGGGCATGTAACCTATAAAAACATCACATACATCCTGACAATTAATGACTCATTTCCACACACAGTCCAGTGTCAACAAATTAAAATGTTTTCTAGATATTAGACTAATGGAAGATATATACACACGCTGCTGCTGCTACTAAAAACCACTTCAAAAACACCAAGTGCTTATCTGGCAGTTAATAAAATTCTTACTGTTAAGAACTCGATACTGTTTCAAAAGCAAGAATGCTTCCTTTCCACACACAAGCACGGCCAATCTGGAAACAAACGCAAGAGAAAAGAACACATCCTATTCATCTGAAACAGCATACCAGCACGATTCAGTTGAACTTCAAAACTGTACAAGATATTTAATTGTAAATGCACTACCTTCGGTTTTGCACAGCAACTTGCTACATGTGCACAGAAAACTACAGGTCACAAGAGATTCATCTTCAGATATAGTAAACTACAAATGTAATTTTGATCTTGTATCGCTTGCAGTTGCACAAAAATGATATCAGCTTGGAAATAACCAAATACAAATGAACATTAAACCAAATTAATACATTCTACCAAACCAATCATACCAAAATCTTGCGTGATGCAGCATCCATACAGCAGCAGCCCTATAGCACAATGATATGCTGGCAGCAGTCACCACGACTTGAGGCGATGCCAAGGTTCAAAATTCCCTCAAAAGAAAATCTCTTTATGGACGAAGTACCTGCATCAACAGAAAAGTGTTTCCCCTATCCAACAACCCTTATCAGCAAATGCTCACTCCAGTGATTCAAAGAATACTCTTTTCAAATGGACACCAAGATTAGTTCCCTTGTGCACAAGAGGGAAGAAGTTTCCAAGACGCTGCATTTACAGTAGGGGGGAAAAAAGTCAATGTACTCATAAGACATTAAACATATGTTTCACTTCACTGAACTCTGTTAAACTTAGCTGTCAAATATTGGAGAAAAAAAATTCCAAAAAATCAACAAGAGTAATGTGCAAAATCTCCTAGGACATCCTCTTTACCTGAACACCAGCTACTTTTGCTCAATAGTAAAAAATACCCACTTCATGTCCCAGTGTTCTGCAGCTGCATTGTAATCCTAAGACACATCCAAGCACCTTGCTCCAGATTACATTAAAGAACCCATGACGCTATGCTGCGCGACAGGCATTAATATCCATTATCCAAACAATTGCATTGCAGGCATGTTAGCATGACTATGGAGTGGACCTGGTGAAAGAAAGATGAACCAAGCAACATGCTAGAATGCAGAAACAGCACAAATGTTGCTACCTCTATTCTTCAACCATTCAAACAAACTCTGCCCAAGTGAGCAAATTAGTCCGCGGACAGCAAAACAGGATTACGATTAGAACTTTGCAGCTCATACTTAGGGAATATACAAAATACTAAATAAGAAATGTATTAGAAAATGTTATACTTGTCAACCTGAATCTAACTCCATGCACAAAGTATCTGGCCTCAGAAAACAGCGCCACTTTCTGCTCCAAGTACACTTTCAGGCAAATTATAAGCGGACACTTTCTGCCTCCAACCAGGTCAGGAAAAGCTATAGAATGAAAAGCAAGCCACAAATACTTGTCCATATAAATAAGGATATCAACGTACATTTACTGCTATAAAATCAAAATTTAATAACCTTTACAATTTTTCAGAATTCACGCTGCTCTTATACTTTGATTTTACTAGCAGAGTTAGAAATACATTTCTAACCAGATGCAAACCCTTCATTAAACACCAAACCGCACATCATGCAATGGAAACTTTCCATTCACAACATATATTGTAATAATACGAAAACCTTCCCACTATTGTCCATGTACAATACAAGATACTGAGTTTCTGTACAGTGTTACCTTATTTCACTTCTTACTTACAAATCATTAAAAACTTTCCTGTTTTCATCCATTCACCTCTACAATCATAAATCAGGTCAAGTCAAGCAACTCTTTTCTCCGACGTGAGAGATGTTCAATTACTAGTATGTTAATCGCGTTCAACCCCTGCCATGATGATTATCGGCATCAACCTGAAGAAACAATGTCGAACAACTAAACTTTTGAAATCATAAAGGATAATTAAATACTTGTATGGAACTGAATTGATTTCTTACAAAAAAAAAAAGAAAAAAAAAGTATCCTCCACACATAATAAAATGATCAGTAGATAAATACATAAAGAATTTTCTTTTTTTACTTATCAGTCATGTATTGAATCCTCTACCAGACAGATTTGCATGCCATCCCTTAGCAGACTTCACAGGACTGAAAACTGAGAAAATAGTGTTCATACTCCAGAGCCAAAGAACTCTTTACTCGGCACAGCACAAAATGTTACCATAACAGGGTTACCAATCTCAAACCTGGGATTTCCTGCCTTTCAACAAGCTCTGACACTGCCAAACTCTTTACACCAGCTTTAATAACTTGCTACGATGTTCCCGCATTCATGTATCAGTTTTCCAGTTTCAAAGTTCACTGTGGTACATCTCTCCTCCATCTCCACTTTAGCAATCACGTCAGCATGGCATCACTAATATGAGACTACTAACATTGTTAGTACCATAACAGCTCATTCCAGATTTTTTCAAAAACCCTGACAAGAAATAGAAATTCCATTTTAAATCTATATTTTTTTATTGCAAAATTACTTTTCTTGCGGCCTCAGATTCAGGACATCTTGTAAGTGCAGTGAGCAACACTTATTCCTTACTTTCCTAACCAAGAGAAACTAAAATATACATTTCCACAACAATTAATAATGCTTATACTACAAAATACTAATGTTCTACTAAACCTCACTTGAAGTCAACCTTTCATTAGGTGCACAGCTTCTGATATGCAGTATAGGAAATACCCATCACAGGAAAACACTCGCAGAATTAGTCGTCATACTTTACAGGCAGGCAGGGAAAAACGCAATAACTTCTCCAAGCAGCGCTGCATGGCACCAGTTGAGCTCTACAGCACAAAACACAGCCTTCCTCTCCCCACAAACAAGACCAATTTGAAAAAGTGGGGCAGGTGCATAAGGTGTGGGGGGGTGGTACGTGTAAACAAACTGTGAACCAGGTTGAAATTAGCACGAATTCACTGTTCAAAACAGTAACTAGATGAGCACTACCTACGGTCTTGCGTAGCACCTTACAATGCAACTGTCAACCCCCTTCAGCCATACTAACTTGAGAAACATTCAAAGCAGAGGCTTTCAGATACATCATCATTTACTTTTTGAAAGAAAAAGCAAAGAAATACTTAATTAAATTTATGAGACGCTACTTATAGCAACACTAATTATATAATCGATACCACTCAACTGTCCAACTGGCAACCAGGTACTCCGCACAGTAGTTATCCCCTATTGTACTACGAAATGTTGGATGGGACCACCTCAAACCAGCGCAGACATTCACATCCTGGACGAACTCTTCATATCCATACTGACCATGGTGCCAAGGACTCTGCATAAATAACAAAAGCTCTTCTCTTGACCCACATAACCCACCCCAATCATCAATCTTCACCCGCCCTATGACAGCACTTCCAACAGTCAAAATTCTTTAAAAGTTATGCAATAAACACAATGAACAATCTCACATAAAAACCTCAATGTTTTTTTCTGTTTCACCAAGTTCAATGTACAAACTACTCTCAGCTATAAAATAAGCAATATTCAGAATTCGTGACAAAACTTGGCTATGTAGTACAACAAACATGATTGGCTACTGCATCCAAGTAATCGATATTCACGTTCATGTACAAAACATATTAATTCTATTTAAATCAGAGCAAAACAGAATACCTAGTTACAAGGCATCCTCTTGATCCAAATTTGAAAACCAAAGCCAGTGCTAAACATGACAAAAAAAATACCCCTTTTCCGATGTCCTGCAAGTGCACCACTATTAACCGCACGACAAATCCAATTTCTTGCTTGAAACTGATTGGCACCAGTGGGGACTGTACCTTGCTTGCTTGATAATGGGGTTAAAGCTCCGAACAATAGCACTGCAGCCTGTGGCACTTCCATTACCAGCATGTAAGAGTAGACCTGATAAAGACATGAACGAGGAATGCGAGAAAGATCCAACTAGTGGTCTAAAATTTAACAATCGAGTACTTATAATATCGTTAAATGTTGTTCAACAATGTACAAAGATTAAAAATTCTTCCTTTGACAAAGTTAAATCCAAACTACTACTGCTGTAGTAATGAACTTTATACAGCTTGCAACTTCAAATTGTATTAATATAAGAAAACTGATCAACCTGAAACTAGTTCCAATCAGCAGCCATCTGCCCAGAGGAAGGATGCCATCATTCTCCCACACCAACACCATGGAAACCACCTTCTCAACAACATCCTGGCAAATACTAAGCAAACACATTCTACGTCCTACCATGATGAAGCCTACAAATCCTTTGGCACATAAAAGACTTTTATCTGCACAAGCTCCCAAACATGTCTACTAGGAACCATCCTATTAAATTTCAAAGTGCCATTTCAGCTCACATTATGTGGGTACTTTTAGATACTCCTCTTACTGCCTTCAAAATGATGTCTCCACACGCACACAGGCCTTTTAAAAAAAATTATATCCAATACGCATTTCTATCCCCCCACCCAAACAATGTAATACCATAATAATCACCATGAGCATATCTGCAATACAAATAAACTGAAACTTAGCAATTACTGTTGCAGGAAAAAACCTGACCAATCCAGACTTTCAAATTCTAAAACACCACGGTTACTTTAAACCACTAGAGAATTAATACATCATTAGCAGCATTTATAATCTGGAACACAAGTAGCATCCACTATGTGGACTGCTAATCAATCAGCCCTTATCAGAACAAGAGAGTTCCAATTCAGTGCTTACTTACAAGATGTTTTCAGCGTTCTGCTTTTCATATATTCAACTACCTCTCCAAGTAAGTCAGGCCAAACTGGAGAAAATAGCAGTAAGCATGTAGAACTTGTTTCAATACTCCAATCGGAAACACTGAAGAGCAACAACTGTTAACTTGGGGACGAGAATGATGCACGATGGACACAAGTACCAGGAAACCTGAAGAAACAACGTCCAACTAAACCGTTTGCTGCAGCTTACTAATATGTATGGAACATGAATTTCATTGAATAAACAAACAAGTAAATATATTTTATACTAGAAAAATTCAAAATGAAAACATGCAGTGTAAAAATAAGGTACCCCCTGAAATGGAGTCATTTCACTTTCCCACCAGAGGCCTCCAACACACCATACCCTCAAGCACCAGCATGACGAACAAATCAGCTACACAACACACAATCCAATCAACATAGCTTCATTAATCCATTATCTCTAGCAGACCTGATGGCAATGGTATATGTGCAGGTAGCTTCTGCAACAGATTCTTGAGCACCAGTCACAGCAATGCATCAACTCCAGCAGCAGCATTAGCAGCAAACAGGTTCTGTCAAATAGGCCAATTTGCATTCCCAACAAACCCCCCCCCTTCCACAAAATAGTAGCAAGGAAAATAGGCACATGGTTATTGTCAAAGAACATTGAACATGTAACATTTGTTATCGTTATTTTATTTCCATTTGGTTTCTACTGGCAGAACACTTTACGCATACCACATTTTGCATTTCACTGCAAACAAGTATCAAAAAGCCACTTTAAATTTGTGTACAATATACAATCCAATTATAATCTATTCACTTCAGCCTCAGCTGCTATTACAAACACCCTCGTTAACATGCAACAAAAATGTTAACTGGATTGTATACCCAAACCTATATACAATAAAAAAATGTTTCAAAACTGTTAAATATTAACAGCAAGCAGGTCTTACAAGCTTCAGAGTTGCTTACAAGCATGAATTCAATATGAATCACCTTTTGTAACTGAAATGTGGCAATCCCTAACTCTACCAATTACAAACCAAATTGATGATCCTCAGGGACAGGTCAGTCTTGTCATGGCTTGTCACCTGAGCCCGGAGTCGACAGCGGGTAGACATGCCTTCTCAAATTGGGAGACTGGAATGAAAAAATACCTGAATAATATCACAGAAACGAAATTGTACAATTTGATGCTATAGTGAACATAGTTCATCTTTGTAGAGGGATCTTCACTTCATTCAGAAGAGACATGAAGCTATTTAAACTGTTTATATCTTCACAAATCTTCTCGTCCCACTGATTGTCACTAGAAGTGGCACTGCACACGGAATTACAATCAGCTTTAGTCAGTTCCACTTTCAAACGCTGCCACCGCTGGTACCGTTGCTGCTGCTTCATCCTCAGCAGTGTCTCTGCTTTTACCAGTGCACTTGTCAGAACTGCTTCGACCCTTAGGTTTTTCCTCCTTTGTCTCTTGAAAGAGTTTTTCTTGACTCTCACCTTTGTTATCCAATCCACAAGTCCATCTGTCTGACCTTGAAGTCTATCCACGGTGCCACGTATTGCGACACCCATCCCCAACTCGTGGGAAAATATAAGAACAGATATAAAACAGCAAATACTGCTCTACACTCTATGGTTAATAATGCTGTACACACACCTGTACGGAGTCTGTAGGCTTCGATGTAACCCAGTCTGTACAGAAGACAGCAGCTGTGTGCCTAAAACGGAAGTTTATTGTAATAGCAAATACACAACCTTTCTGCACACTCGACCGACGCCCAAGAACCTACGTGTCGAAGTAGTTCCTTTATATATACCTCGACTTCTACAGTTCAGTGTTCCTACGCCTAGATGAAAGAAAAAAGATCACGAGATTATTAATTATATCATTCCACATAATTAGACAAAGAACATCTAAAGCACTTACTCAGTGTTAGCACTTATAACTTCATTTTCTTAAACCATGATATGTAATTATGAATAAGTGTAAATGAAATTATTACATACACGCAAAAACTAGGTCAGCGGACGAATAATCATCTCGCAGTACGTAAATAGGCTGGGAGTTCTGACGTCATTAATGTGAAAGAGAAGGAAAATTTAACTTCCGTTACTGCAGTTCCGGTAATGGCCGCCAATATGTAAATATTTTTTGGCAAGCTTCTCAGAAATATAGGAATCAATTTACCTTGCATAAACCAGTATGATATGAATTTTCGGCATGAAAATGAGTGACAACCATGATGAATCCTTCAGTGTTTTCACCAAAGTTCAACTCAGTGGAATACTGTTCAAGAAATCTTTTGCACCACATTCAAATAAATGGTCAAAAAGGTAACAAACAATATAAGGAATTAAATATAAGAAATATACTCCCGGAAAGTAATAGTACTGTCCAGCAGCGGCAATCTATAGGTCAGCATGAAGTCTGATCATCAGTAATTGTAAGTCCAATCCAGCATACTATCCAGTTCATGCCTACATGCCTTTGCCCCTGGGATCTTCCAACATAAATATTGTATTGTTTCAACCAACGCCCTAGCAATACTAAGTGAAGAGTATAAATTATGAAGCTTTTCAATATATATTTATTTTATTTCTTCAGACCTTAGTTAATTTTTCTTTGGTTCAGATATTGATCTTAGCAGTTCCTTGCACTAGTGATATACAGTAACACTAATAAACTCACAATATTTAAAGTTTTAACATTGTGGGTAAGAGTGTCAAATATACCTTTGGTTCCAATCATGACCGGTCGATATGAAATACTCCTAACAACTGTTTCATATGTTACTATGATCTCATCTCACCAAACTGTCAAATCAGTTCAGTCAGTTTAAAGCTTCATTCATTTCTCAACTTATAATGCATTTTGAGCTCTGAAAACATTACAACAGTGGTTGTTATTCTTAAATGTAAAAAAATGTAATATTGCAACTTTGATTTCTCTCCCGTAGGTTTTTCATTGTCAAGGAAGGTTTCCTTCTGTACTACTCAGAAAGTGAGAAGAAAGTTTTTGATAAGAAAGGTTGTTTCAACATTCATCCAAAAGGTGTCATTCCAGTTGGAGGATGCATTATTCAAGCATCTACTGAATTAGGCCAGGATTATGTCATAAGAATCACAAGTGACAGCTTTGTACATGTAAGTGAATATATTATCACTGATTGCTGTTAAATATTTATGATTATAATGATTTGATTAGTGTTGTCTATTAAGTAGTGATTCCATTCTGTAGGGGTCAGTGGCTCTGGGAACAGAGACACGATATGACCAAGATCGATGGATACAAGTTCTTCAAGAAGCAGCAAGAATGTAAGTTTGTGGCATCACTCCATTACTATATGCCTAATTAACTGCATGAAGCAGAGTCCTTCTTAAGAAGCTTTGTAGCAGTTTAGAACATTATATTATTTATGATGGGGAGTTGTTAGCCCTCTGGTCAATCCCCAAGTTAGAGGACCATTTCTTGTCAGCTGTCTGCAATGACTTATTCAATACATTTACAGCTATCCTCCTTCCACAACCTGAAGATGCATCATGCCATGGTGACAAGTGACTCACTTAACATTGTGCACCATTTTTTTAAAATTTTATATGTAACAAACAAGACATTCTGGGAAAAACATGTCTTGAATCTGTACAGACAGGCTGGCATGAATTATAAATTATAATCATAAAACTTGGGAAAAGACCTGTTGCTTATGTAGCAGCTGTACTCACATGATACAGCTGGGAGGAGTTAGAAGACATGCCAGTTTATAGTGGTGTGATTATAAAGAACTGGTATGGTTCACACTGTCAGTGGAATTAGGCATGATATAAACTGGACACCAAGAATACACATAGCTGCTTGAGCAGAAGTAAACCACACTGATGCTTACATGTGTGTTGGCATAAAGTCGCATCTGTGTCAGTCTTGGACAAAGTTGTATCACTATAGTAATTGTACAGTTGGTGATATGATACTGTGTGTGTTTGGATATCCATTCATTAAAACATTTCTTCACACACTGCCATACTGCAACACTTCCCCAAGCTCTTCTTGCATCTTAATTCATGTCTCTCGTCTCTAAATTTTCTCCCATTTCTGAGTATAGAAGAGACCATATTGATAAAACTGAAGATACAGAAGTTGTATTATGATTATCTTCTAATCCTCATTGTCACTGCAGAAGAAAAGTTGAAGAGTGGGTGCTTGTACCAACTGGGCAGTCCCCATAGAAACATATTCCTGCCCATATTTATTGGACTCCCTGTTTGGGTTAATGTCACAGTTGCACTCTCTGAAGAAGACTGAATGATAGAAGTAACATTGACAATTGGCTTATGGTAATGTCAGTTGTGATATTCTGGGTTGTGATTCTGTGTAGTCTTTTGTGACATTGCACCACAGTTATGATAGTGATACTGCATTTATAAGCCATAGATTGAGATGGATAATGTACTGCCTTCCAGAACGTGGGAAAACTCTCGTATGGGAGAATCCATCATCCGTGATTTAGAATCTCAAGGATTGCAACTTAACAAGGAAAAGCAGTCGTATGTTGGTAAGGATTGATATGATATATTTACAGTGCAATTTTTAGGTTGTCAGAAAATGTTAGCCACGTGGTTTAAACATTTTAAAATATTTTGAACTGCTTTACTGCATGAGGACAAGTAAGGTCTGATAATGAATTAGGTAGTTTATTAAAAATATACTGGTGATGTATTTTAATTACTGACTAAAATTTTAATTGATTTTTAATGCATTCAGAAATAAAATCAGCAAATGAGACTACATTTTATTGCTTTCTTTTGACAAATGTTTAGCTTCACAAAGTATTACTTAATTCAGAATTATCTGTATGTACCACTGATATGAATTTATTACTAGGAAACATTAATGATTCTTGTCCATCCTCATAAACAATAAATGTGCTTTATCTGGTAGCTTAATCTTTCAAGGTGAATGGGCTTATTTCTGTCTATTTTGCTACAAATACAGACAAATAAAATTTTTGATACTTCTCTTGAAATCATAATTCATAAAAATAGACACTGCACGCCTGTTCACGTTCTTTGTACTGGACTGACCAGCTACAATACAGGAATTCATACTGACAGCATGTTGAGGCTGCTACAATTGGAGAGCAGAACCTTGTTAAATTAAAAAAGAATGTTTATCATCAGCAGCAGCATGATGAAGACCACCACCATCAACATTAGGGAAAATAAACTTTTAAGGAACGAAGTAAACTATCTTCTAGAAGACAGTCCAGACAGTGTACCATAAGAAATAACAACCAGTAAGACCCATAGTCTGTATTAAATGCTGGACTAGAAATAGGGCTTGTATTATTTTTAACCTTTAAAATCTTGGTTGCAGAATGCAGTAATGTGAAACTGAACTTGCAAATATGTACAGGTAAAAAATATAAACAAATTGAGTAAAAGTATGATATAAAATCTAAAAAAGAAGGGAGAGGAGGAAGAGGCAATATTTCAATAATTTGTTGAATATTCAGAGGCTCTATACCCTGAAAATATCAGGCCACTTAATTTAAATTACCTTTTTTACACTATATTTGAATATGTTAAGCTCAGCAGGGGCATACAATTCTACTATATGGTTTTAGGAAATTGGGAGGGTTCACTGTACTTCTGCAGTAACACAAATATTAAACTGTCTTAAAGATGAAGTTCACCAGAATGATTTAAAACTTCTTACAAGCCTTTTCTGAGTACTGCTTTGATAACAATAGAACTCTGCAGACTTCACCTAGTTTTATTTAAAGAAAATAAATATAAACTGCCAGAGAAGACTCAAGAATAAGGCATGTTCTTTCAGCACATTATGTATAATACAGATACAGTTAATTTTGGTGCTTCAATTTAGTTTGTCGCATTTTCCAATAATCAGTGATGAGTGTTCGTCTTAAAAAGTATTTGTGCTACTCAAAATTTCTTCAGCTACATATTTTATTTGCATGCATCTTAAATATCTCTTTCATTTGTTCTTCGTGGTCAATAATAATCAGCAAATGCTGATTCCTTTTGCAGAACAATTACATGAAGAAACCATAGCATTGCAAGATGAGATTGACAAAAATGAGGTATGCATTTCGTTGTTATTTCCGTTTCTTGGCTGTGCAGCTGCATGACTAGTGCTCTGGCAACACTGTTGGTTGCGGGCTAGTCTTTTTCCGAACATAATTGTAACTATACAGCTAACTACAGTCAAAGCAAAGCAAAATACCTGACTTATCACATGCTAACAGAAACCATGAATTGTTCTAATGGTACAAGTTATTCAATGCTGTTCACTAAATGCACCATCTCTTATCACTCCACATACACATATATTGTGGGTATTATCATTTCCTTCTCTGTGCTCTTATCTAGCTATATTTTGCTCTCAGTACAGTGGTTTCCAAATTTTGTTACTCTTACCAAATTCTTAAAAAGTTTAATTATGTGACCCCCCATTTTTTCTTTTATAAATTCTCCCTTGTCTGTTTCCAGATCCTACTGAATTGAGCTGACCCTTTCTCTGCTATCCCTTACATACTGTTTCTCTGTCAGTATAGTAACTAGGCTACAGGATCAATGATCATCCTCCCTTCCAGTGGGTACTGGGATTCTATCCTCAGGGATGAAGTGGCAAGGACTAACCATGCACCCCATCTAGTACTGAATGTGTAGAGTTATACCTCCACTCTGACATTTGTCTGCATTATGTGATGCTTAGTTAAGTACCAGATATAACTTGACCCTTACCACATCATCATCATCATCATCATCCTTCTGAAAGGAACTGGAACAAAATGTATAAATCAGGAAAATGCAAGATGCAGACAGAATGATTCCAAACATATCATTGTCTTCTTCTATAGAAATTCTTCTTCAAACATTACTGGTATACAAAAAATTCACAATTACATAATTTTTCTCATGAATGCCCTTGAAACATTCTATGAATCACACTGCTGTAGTATGATTACTTTTTCAGCTGCTCTAAATCAGTACTTTAAACTTTTTTGTTTTTGCTTATTACTGGTACGTTTGGGAACTAGATTTTTTCACTTTGTGACCTCTATGACTAAGCAGAAGACAATATTAGGTTAAGAGTTGAATGTACCTTTCCTTTTCCACTAATCACCACCCAGCCTCCTGTCCTGTTGGTACTGGTCATCTTTCTCTGGTAATAAAGCAGCTGCAGCGTTAAGCTGGCCACATACATCTTCTCGCCGTAGTACTTAGGCACCTTTAGTTCTGACACCTTATCTATTTTAGGCCCCACCTGCACCTCAGCCATTGCCAGTTACGAGGGATAAGACGAACGGTGTAGCTACATGGAAGACCTAGGCATAGATGGTGGATATGAAAATGAATACTAAAGGAAGTGAAGAGAATGTCTTGCCTGTCAGAATATAATTTTTTTTCTTCGAAGAACAGCTCTGTACTACTTTGTTAGTTTTGTTTTCGTGACCATTTAAACACATCAAAAAACAGATATGGTTCCTGTCCTGAAGTGATAAACATTTTCCCCACAGTTCCTGCAGTATAACTTTTGAGGTGATCTGTACTTACAGTGCCCCTTCCCTAGGTAAAGAGATACACAAAGCATGGTATAGCGTCCTTTAAAGAATGCCAGTACACACCAGCTGTCAGGAACCGGTTTGAATCCTGTTTATTGATGTATCAATACGTATAAGAAAACCGTCATTGTTTGGTGATGCTACTGCCTGGCTCTTTCTCTTTGGAAAATGTAAGCCTACTGGTCTCCCCATACACATATCCAGGAATGTGAACTTAATGTGAAAAATAGAATCTGAGAAGATGGCTGTCTTCTAGGATGTTGCACTTTGTAGTGTGGTAGTTCAGTATTTGCTACTAGACTATACGGTGAAAAATCCCAGAAGTCACCGTACGAACATCATCTCTCTATCTGAGAGTTTTGCAATGCTGAAAATGTGGATTGCGGTCTTCTGGGTTCTGATACCATGTCTTGTAGGTGGCAACCAACGTTTCGGAGGAAGCTGTCACTTCCATTGTTATTGTGGAAGCAGAAATATACGGCACCTTGATCATTAAACGTAAAGATGAATATACAATAAACACTGGGAGATCTGCATTGGGGGAGGGGGTACTGCTGTATGAAGTTGACCCACTGAGCTATTATCTAGTGCAGAGGTTATTTCGTGGAGAGAAGGTTAAGGTACAACTTAGTATTTCACCTATTGGTGTAATGGATGTGACTTTCTGATTAACCAATAATGGAGGTTCATTTCAAGTTGCTGCCATGCTTTTTTTTAACCTTGCCTATTTGTAGCTCCGCTTGTGAATTCCTAAACCACCGTTTATAAACTTTGGGGAGCCGTTATCAGATGACATGCGTATTTGAATCAGTTCCTGCTATTCCGGGTTGGAAATTGGCGTAGAGAGTTTTTTATAATGACGTTTCCAGTGCCTCCATATGCTGTACTATAGTTCTCCCCCAACGAATTCTCGAACCTGCATTATAATGCAGGTTCTTTGTAGCATGTGTTGATCATTCCCTTGGACTTTTTTGCCTATCTGAGGCTGTGCGTAGTTCTGAAAAACTATTTCAAACGCTACACGTGCAGGCTGCAGGGAGAAGCAAGCACTAACGATAGAAATCAATACCGCGCGATGTTGATCCAAGTACTGCATTGCACCATCCCTATGACGTCGGTTCTTGAAGTGTATGGGGCGTGTCCGTGGGGCGATTTTCCAAAATTTTGCAGAATTTATTATATTTGAACTGGTCATGGTGATGACTTTATTTCGTCGTCTTCCGAGTTTGGCAACGTGTCAAGGAATAAAAACATTACTGACGTTTCGGAGGATGTTGCCTCTTAATCACATCTCTTGATGTGCAAGAGCCCGCCACTTGACCCTATCCTGAGCCAGTTGAATCAAATCCGCGCTCCAAGTGAAAAGTGTTGTAGACAAAATTATATAGCATGGCAAAAGGAAATATTTATATTATGTATATTTCGTTTTATGACGAACTATTTTCAACAGTTTTGCGACAAAACTTCTTTCAAAAGAATGCCTGCACAGCTCGATCGTTCCATTCCAATTTTAGTCGCTGAAGAAATAGTGTTGTGCATCTGCTTTGAGTAGTTGAGGGGGGAAATTATGCATGGACAGCTGTTGCCCCTGGAGTATAAACATAACTTGAATGGATGGATGCTAACTAAACAGGATCTGATACGGTTCTCAGTACAAAATCTTGTTACCCGCACTGAATCATCAGCTTTATTCATAGCTCGACGCGAAATTTTCTAACACCAGAAGCTAACACATGGAAATCCTGCCTCTTTTAGTACGGGTGTACTGAGGTTTGTTATTGCCTGTACCGGATTGTACTTTGACTAACATGGTATGATTCATCACGTCACGCTCACGTTTTCTCCTACGCGTTACGCCATTTCTGACGTCAACTTCGTCCTACAATGCAATTTAGCATGACAACACAATCCTAAGATAATCATTTCGATAATGACTGGTTTGCCGAATAACGCTGACGTTTCCAGGTCATCAGATTAGAAGTACTCCTTGAATTTTCCACACACAGAGGTGACACGGCACAAAGTTGTAATGAAAAATGAGCAAATACTGAAGATTGCTGTCTTCAGGGTTGTAGCGCTGTGTAGTTTGGTAGATGTCCTCCAACGTTTCAGAGGTCATACTGCCTCCGTCATCAATCTATTTACAAACACTTTTGAAAAATAGAACAGACAATGCGTTGAATATCCGGCTGTTTATTTGTTCCGTGTCACCGTCTGCAACTAAAATATTACCTTCAATACGAGCCCAAATGGTTTCTCAGACCCAACAAGTAAATTATCCAGTTTAAAAGAACAGACGCAGTAATAATGGTGTCCACTTTACGTTGTTCGTCACGTTACGAACTATTGCGAACCTTCAGTTTCATAAAATACACTTTGTGAGAGATGCTGCATCATCATCATACACAGTAGACTGTGTAAGGGACATAGACCAGCTCAGAAAATGGAGGCAGTATGCTCCTCCGAAACGTTATCTGCCTACTATATAGTCAATACGGCACTGTTACCCTGAAGCCTATAACATATTTTCACCGTCAGAATCTCCAGTCTTATGCAATACTCAGTTGGGTTTATGGAACTTGAGCGGCCTGAGTCCTTTCAAGGGAAGGACTTGCCATGGCATCTGGGAAGCTACCTCTTAAAGTATTGATCTCGCCAGTCGGGGTCTTGTTTATTGTGCAATGTTGCCAGTTTTACACACCGCGCAGAGTAAAATCACGGAATTATGCTTTCAGTATATAACCTGATGAGCCGAGATAGCTCAAGTCAGAAAATGGCTGTGGGGTGAATAACTGAGTTCGATCCCTAGCTGGGGCAACATATCCAGACCGGCTCTGGGGCGCACCCTAGAGAAGCTAATAGTTGCTAAGCCAGTCAAAAACTTGCCGGTATTTTATGGGACCCGAATATTTCTTGCTGTATTTACCAGAACCATCACTGGACACCAATGTGAGCCAAGGAAAGTTAAAACATTCTGAATTGGATGTTAGCAAGCATTCCTTTAATTGAATATACTCTTAATTATATGGTGAATATAATTTCACTTATTATTGTTCGAAAATACCTTTTATCTACATTTCTCAAAGATTTTGTAGCTATATCACGATTTAGCCATGTTATAGTGACATGACGTCTAATGGAGCTTCTGAGAATTTCTTTGTGGTACAATGTTTCGTTGCGGTGCTTTAAATAAATCGTGAGGCACAATACTGGAATGTTAAGCACCCAGCTTAAATATTTTATTATGAGCAAATCAGTGTGAAGCCCCTCGTTCAGAAATAACATTTATGGAACCGCGGAAATGTGTTAACAGAAGGTTTATTTAGAGGACCAACATAGAACGGCTGAAATCCAACACAGAACATGTACTTGCATTCTAGCTCGTAATACCTTGGGAGAAATCATTTTTGCATGCTTCTTCATTTAGTGCTTAACAGTGTTAAGATATCGTGGCGCTGTTAAATGCATATTTTCGAAGGAATTTGATTCAAATCTTCCCTTTTGTCAACAAGATGATTGGCTTCTGACATGTTTTCTTTTTACGTGTAACTTAGTAAACCGTATCTGTGAAATGAAATAGGATTTTTCCATGGTCGAAAGACTGGCAGTATAGTCTTTCGACCATGGGATTTACAAGGGCGAGACATGACGAACATCGCCAACAAACTCCAGTCCTTGAGAAATCTTGCAACTGGTTATGAAATTCCCCGCCTTTTATGGACCAAGAAGTTTCATACCGTGTTCTCAAAAGCCCGCTTCTGGTTCGCATCCTGAGCCATATTAAAACAGTCCGCACCGTATTATTTCATTCTGCAAATCCTACCAGCTACGTCTGCCTCTTCCAATTTCTTACGAGTTACCGAGTGAAAGCAATTTGGGCATTCTTTGCTTTCACACTCGTCACTGATTTCTACGAGGTTTTAACCCTTTCCTCCTTGTGTACACAGGCATAAAGTTAGTACTTTCACACCTAATATTCAAAGACCAGTGGTTATCTAGCTTGTGCAACCGCTTAAGTTTGTGGCTAATAAATAGAATGTGAGGCTCTAGGGTTAGTTTAATATCTCACCACATAACCATGTTTTGGTTGAGATACATCTATCATCATTTAACTGACTCTTTCCTATGGAATATTGGCAGGAAACAATGCATTACGACGCCAGAACCATCCTTATTTCCTGTACGGTCAACTAGCAGTTCGAAGTGGCCTAACACGTTACACATTGCCCCTTCTGACGCAGTCATGGTCAAAGAAGTTCATTCCTGAACCATTGGCCCCGTTTCAAACATGCAAAACAACAGTAGTTTTCCCCGAAGTTTCCTACCATGCTTTAACATTTCTTATGCAACCTATGGAAACTTTCTAAACAGTGTTGCCAAATGTGTGCTTAATAATATAAGCTGGGGGACTCTTTCTTCCCTGTCCTTTATGGACACCAGAACGTTTATTACAGTTTGTACCTGACCCTTTCCTGAGTCATATGAATCCACTTCACATACTCATACCTGGTCTCAATTTTAATATTACCATCTGATCTTCCGAATTATGTCTACCCTTCAGGCTTGCGGATCAACATTTTGCATGCTTTTCTCGTAAACATCCAGAGAAGAGTACGAATTATGAAGCTCCTCATTTGCAAATTGATCAGTACTGCTGTTACTTTTATGATGCCTTCTTTTGTTCCTTGTATGTCAAGTAAAAATTATGAAATGCCCAGAAGCTTAAAAAGTTTTGAAGTGTCTGGATTAAAAGGAATTCAGA